TAACGCTAGTAACGCGCTAGGCCTAAATAAGGATTTTAGCGTTAATAGGTAAACTTTAGAGCTTTTAATTGCAATTGCTAACCTACTTACCTACTTTTCTACTTTATAAGATACTAATTATACTTTATTTTATATGCTAGAAACGCTTAAATTAACGCCTTATACTTTTAGGTAATAGCTTACCTATAATAAGTAGCTTAAAATTTATGTTTTATAGAATTTAGACTTTAACTTAGGCGCAATTACGCGCTATCTTAATATACACTATAAGGCTACTTATAGTATAATTTTCTATACTCTTTACTACCTAATTAGTTCTTAAAAGCGCTAATAAGGTTATAGTACACTATCTACTAACGTACGTTATTACCTTATTAAATACGTAACTTTAGATACTAAATAGCGTTAAAAACTATAGTAACTTATTACTTAGAAGCTTAATATACCTATTAGAGCTAAGGTACTTTAGTAAGTGTTTTACCTAGCTAGTTACTATTACTATAAGGTAATATAGAAGCCTATAATATTTAGAAAATACTATAAAGAGCGCTTAAAGTAGATAAATAAGCGTGTTAAATAAACTTAAAAAGACTAGTAATATATAATTTAGAGTAATAAGTACTTCTTTACTATAGACTAGAGTAACGTCTAGGTTACGCGTATATTAGATAAGCGCTTTTACTATAATTACTTTCTACCTAAATTTAAGAAGTATAGTAAGTAGATAGTCTAGAGCTATATTATCTATAGTGTTAAGAGTTTTCTTATTTTTATTAAAGATAGCTAGAGTAACTAGAAGAAGAAGTAGAAAAAAGAGTATTATTAATAGTAGAAAGAGTAGAAAAAAGAGCTTAAAAAGATACCTAACTAGCGTTTCTAGATAGCTAAATTAAAGTCTAAGACGCCTTTAAAACTACTAAAAGGTACTATTAATAGTAAGGTAATATATACTTATATTATACCTAAGATTCTAGAGATAAAGAAGTACTTAGAGCTTATAAAGATACCTTTTAGCTTAGTAATCTTTATAGAGAATAGCGCTAGCGCCTATATATTAAAGAAGACCTATTAAAAGTATAAGAAATATAGTATTTACTATAATAGTTATCTAGCTAATTTACCTAATCTAAATCTTATTAAGAACGTTTAGAAATATCTAAAATCTTATATCTATAATTAGTATTCTTACTCTAGTAATTAATAGAAGCTTTACTAATATATAAAGAAGGCTTAGAATAAGATACTTATTAAGGTAATTAATAGGTATATAAAGATAATAAAAGATTACTACTAACACATTATTAACGCCTATAGTTATTTTATAAGGTATTAGGTATAATATAGCTTTCTATTACTTTTCTAGCTCTTAGAAATTACCTAAAATAGCTCTATTTTATATATCTAAGAGCTCTAAAATAGGCTAAAACTACTTATTTTTAAGTATTACTAGTAAAACCTAGAATCTATTAATTTTAAAGCTTTTTACTATACCTAAGAGCTCTAAAAGAGTCTAAAACCTTATATTTTTAGTAATTGCTAGTAAAGCCTAAAAACTATAGGTTTTAAAGCTTTTTAGCATGTCTAGAGCCTCTAAAACAGCCTAGAACAGCTGCTTTTTAATACTTAGTAATTATTCTATATTTCTAAGGTGCTACTAACGCTTACAGGGCTTCTAAAAGTAGTTAGAAGTAACCTCTTTTTAATATAGCGTTCTATATTATTACTAATGCTATTAGCTGCATTTAACCTGCAATTTCTCGTATTTGCACCTAAACTAGGGGTGCGACTGTACTGCACCCTACTTAACAGTCATATCGCATATGCCGCATCCGGTCTACCGGCTTGTACACCTCTTGCTCTTTCTTCTGTCCATTGCGATATTCTTTCATCATGCGGCTCAGCTCCTGTTGAAAGGCGCAACGCTCAGGTGCCGGCTAGGCACCCGTCAACAACGTCTGTGGTTCCATTAATAACCTCCTAAGCGAGTCTTTACAGATCACGATGCGGAGCCTCCTCCGTGATTAGCAGCGTGGGGCGGACGGCTCATCATGGTGATCAGCGGGTAGCCGCAACTTCGACCTCAACAGCGTCTGTTCTCTCGTGCGCCTAAACCCGCAAGCAGGCTCGTGTAACCAAACCGGGAAGTATGCTTCCAAAGCGGAGGGCACCGGCTGGTTCTTTTCGGTGCTTGCTTCACTCCGTCCGTGAAATCTCCCGCCCGACATTGACAGTGCTGTCGGATCGGAGCCCAGAATTCAGGCCCGGCACTTGCGGAAATACAGTTTTATGGCCAATCAGAGAAAACATAAATCGTATCATTTTCTGATCTCAAACTGCCTACTTGAATTCTAAGACGGTGAAATTGAAACCGTATACAAACCATCAGCCAGGAAATGGGAAGGCCAAATGGACAAACACCGGGCCTCACTCAATTCTACACGCCCTGCAATGATTCGGTGTCCGTTCATTTCAACCTTTTCCACCTGACTGCAAAGCTGACGTATGATCTAGCACTTACTTGTCATGCTTTGAACTCATGACATGAACGAGTCGGCAATAAAGCGCTCACGCGACCTGTCATGAGCTGCGAGCGTGTTCTGTGCCGGGGAAGTTCCCTTGACCCCTAAAATGTACCTGGATGAGAGCTCATGCTACCCTTGCGATAATGTGCTGTTGCGGTTCTGCAAGGTACAGCCTGTGGGCATGGCACTTGAGTACGATACCCGACCAGATCACCATCGAAAAGTTTGCAAAGGGTCACATTACTAGGCATGTAACGCTGTAATGTACATCTCCACTTTAATCCTGTCCCTGACTGTCGATGGGTGTTTGCTCATGAGCCGTTAATGAAGATTATGGAATGCACAAGGATGTACGTGATCTGTGGACATACCGGATACATTCAGGTAGTTGCACTTGTCAGCGTCTTTACGGTAAGGTCATTTCACGTCGCTGTCGTCACATATGAGCCTGGCGACCGTACAGACATCAGACTGTGTTTTAAGCGTTTTGAGAATGCTACAAATGATCCCGAACCCTGTTGGACGGAATTGCATTAGCCCGATGTTACTTGAGTTGAAACAGCACAGTGACATGGAGCTAGGAGGACTGACTATAAGAGTCAGCGATGTTGTACCGTGGTCTGCTATGTGCAATGGAAAATCCAGTTGCCTCTATCTCTTCTATTACTGACGGGCAGATTGACTTGTATTCCGAAAAACACAACAAACGCACTTTCGTTTTTTAGGACATCTTCCGTGGTAGATTATTATTGTACGAGAAATGAACGAGAAAGCGTTCTGCGATTGAAGGTATATAAAGCATGCTGAGTGTGACACGAACACATGATGGCAATGTTGACATGCAACTTTGTATCGAAGAGAAAATATTCGGGTATCTAGGTACTAACTTAGTGCACCAAAAAGGTCTATGTCTATCTCTTGATTCCGCCAACAATGCTGACATGCTCATCGGCAATGTCTAATCTCAAATGATCTATGTGAAAACTCCAGACAAAGTAAGACATCGTTCATCGACTTCAGAATCTCTGTTTCAAGGCCCAACAAATATTTAGTTCCTTCGAGACCCGATCCTGAGACCTGGTATTCCCTTCAGGCCCATCTTGCCGACTGTGGACTTCTCCAACATGGGCGGCTCGGGGCAGCCCATCGTGTACGCGTAATCATTAGCGAGACGAACTAGATCGGCCGTAGAGATCTGCAGCTTCTTGACGAAAGTCTTGTTGTAGCCAAGGAACGCCTGGTACGCCTTTGTCTTCGATTGCTCATCGACATTGGTGAAGGCTCGGTCAATGTTTGCTTGGTGCGAGGGTAGACGTGACACAAGGTCGACGGGGTAAGGGTTGATAGGCAGCGTCTTGTTGATCCTTGGGAAAAAGGCTTCTTGCTCGAAGAGAACGAGAACGGCACGTCCATCCTTACCGGCGCGAGCTGTTCGGCCGACACGGTGGACGTACTGATCAGTGCTTGAGGGAAGACCTAGCTGAACGACGAGGCCAACGTTGGGGAAATCCATGCCGCGCCCGACGACGTCGGATGCGAACAAAATACCGCTTTGAGCGTCCTTGAATTCCTGGGTAGTGCGTGTGCGTGCAGGCTGAGACATGCGGCTGTGGAGCTCAAATAGCTTGAACTGGGGTAGCGCATTTCGGTAGAGGTCATACAGCAGTCCGACACCGTTCGCGGTGGTACCGAAAACAATGGCTTTGAAGCCGGTGGGGTTCTGGTTGTACTCCTCCTCGATCAGGGCTGACAACGCAGGGAAAGTCTGACCGACAGTAGGAACAGAGAAGAAGAACTGTGGTACGCGCTCGTGGGTCGGCACTTCGTTCGGGTCGACAGTCGAAAGATGTGTGTAACCAGGGAATAAGACGATCTTGGCGATGTCAAGAACCTCCTTGGGGAGTGTGGCAGAGAAACACATTCCTTGCCAGCCATCGTTCTTTGGGGGAATGCGCCTGAGTATCTTCTTGACCGCAGGTGCAAACCCGGCATCGAGCATCTGATCAGCCTCGTCGAGGATAACCGTCTTCAGATCACTGAACTTTTCGCGAACTTCCTCTTCACCCAGAATGTCGTCAAGGCGACCGGGAGTAGCGACCAAGACGGTAGGGTTGCCGTTCATGAAGGCCTTGAGGTTTGAGGCACGAGAAGTACCACCGAACGCAGTATGGCACTCCATCTTCTGGGGCAGACACGATGTGACACCGTTGCACTCCTTCGCAATTTGTAGAGCCAGCTCACGGGTAGGGCAGACGACGAGGATGGCGACCTTGCCTTTCCGGGGCATGTTACCGGCCAAGAGGTTTTGGATCGCAGGCAGTAGGAAGGCCACGGTCTTGCCCGTACCTGTCTTCGCCTGTACAACACAGTCGGAGGAGGAACTGGGCAGCTCAGTGAGAACCTTTTGTTGAACAGGGGACATGTATCTGTAAGAGTCAGCGACCGTGCTGGGAGAGTGTAACGTAAGAAGAGCTATGCTTACTCAAATCCCATCTTGTCCAAGCCATTGAGCAACGCTGGGTGTAGCTTGTTCTTCAGGTCGGCGAAGGGCTTCGGTGCCGCATCGCCGGCCGCAGTGCTGTACATCTGTCGTACGTCGACGCCCGCATCTGGCTTCGGCAGTGTGTCTTCGACTCTAGGACGTTTTGGTTGTTGCGACATGGCCGAGCGAGGGTTCGCAGGTCCTCGCCCAGGTGTGCCGTTGGTACGGTCACCGCCGCCGCCGCCGCCGCCTCCACGACCTCCTCCTCTGCCGCCGCGGGTCCATTTGCGCTTCGGTGGTGCGGACATGTCTGTGACTGGTGCTGGAAGTGAGGTGTACTGTCTGTGTTGGGTGCGGTTGGGTGTGAAGGGGATCGTCGAGATGAGGCTATGTCTTGTATTAGTTGCTAGAGAGCGCGGCTGAACGAGACGAGCAAGAGCGAACGGGCGAGATGAGAGAGTGTGTGAAACTAGTTTCATTATCTTCATTCGTACATACAAAGTAATCCGCACTGAGAAACTAGAGAAAAGTAGAGACGCCGAGGGGTTGTGGATACTGAGAGCAATTGTACCCTTAGTTTGCCTTCCGGCCAAAAAAAGTTCAGCGGCCCGAGTCAGTCTGTGCTTTCTGCGACTGCTCGCTGAGTCAGCCATCCTCAGGGCTAGGTAGATCACGCCCGCCCTACTGACAAACAACATTAAATTTTGAACCATTGGCGTGCTCATTAGCCATCTATAGGCGTAGTATCTCGATATTCAGAGAGTGATATATCTCCCTGCGACGCCTCGCGTTCGAGCGGAGGAGACTTCTGGAGCACTGTGCTTCACCTAAGTACCCGTCACCAGCTACAATCAAGCCATGTCTAGTGCCTCGTGATTTATACGTATGCGCGAGTAGTTGCAAGAGGCGAGGTAACTGTTTGATGACCTTACAGTGCAATACAAGGCCTGCTTCCTTCTGTCGGTCGAGCGCACACAACGCGTCACCAGCAGCTTGCTGGATCTCCGGGCTGACTCCAGTGATGTCGGAATTGTATGCAGTGGCCATCCAACGTACATGTTTGATCTCCGGGACGGTGTTGAGGACCGTACAATTTGCGTCCCATCTGTAGATTTCTAGGCGAAGTTCTTCTGGGAGCGCGGCGAAGCCAGTCTTGAGTCTGTGGAATGAGTCCATAGTAGGGGAGAATACCCATAGCCTTTTGCTTTTTAGCTATCGATACGTTGTTGGGCTGATACGTAGAAGGCCTTCGCCTCCTGCTTGCAGTCTCCCTATAGCTTTTGATGGCTGGTTATCGAAGTATGACCATGATAATGACAGCAGATCTTAGAGTGACGTCGTTTGGAGATAAAGTTTTGAGAGATGCAGATGCAATTGAGGGACGCTACTATATCATAGCTCGAGAAAAGAAGTGTCAGTAAAGATATGATAATCTTACTACAGGCAGTTTGCAACCACGGTTTCGCATACCCGATTGCATGTTTTCGTCTAGGTCTTGCTTGGAATGCAGTGGTTGTGACTGGCTATCCAGAATGTCCGTCACCAAATGTCTGTACCTGGGGATCATGCAAACTACACAAAGAGATCAATCGTCGAGATCTATTAGAGCGCAAGCGCGAAGATTAGAAAAAAGGGCCCTCTAGTCACGATTCAGTAGAAGCACAACAGACCTCACGATTCAGTAGAAGCACAACAGACCTCGGGAATAAAGGTACCTCGTTCGCGCGTCTACCAAGCTACCTAGGTACCCCACCTATGAGTGCGCAGCCGTTAGCATGATATGTTATAACTTACTAATGCCGTTGCGAGGAGAATCGGGGAGGTGGTGATATCTGTACTCCTGAAAATGAGGAGGATGTATATGGCCGTGACGCACTAACAGCGCGACACAAGCATTGATGACCTGCTTGGCAGAGAAGCTTAGCTACGATCGTGCGCTAGGACGCAGACGGCATGATCGAGACCGCAGTGGGCCTGTCCCCTCGCTGATGCAGGATGGCTAAACATAATAGCATTTGGCGCCAGACTTCATCAGCGCTGCAGACAGACTCGATACTGTATGGGTCACTCTCATGACATTAGCTGTTTCGCAAGCTCCAGTGCCCACCTTAGTCGGTTTGATCCCAAGAGAAGCCTCAGCAAGCTTCGCAAGCGGTATCGAGAGACAACGCAACTCGCATAGGATTAGGCCGAGTGGACAGACAAAAAGAATCGCGCAACGCAATAGTCTAGCGACCCAGCATCGGGGATCCGCGTAGGTTCACCCGCGCATGGTGTGCAGCTGCAGCGAGCACGGTGTCTGCCTCCGCGGGTAACTTTCTTGTATAGCTGGCGACGACCCAGGCAGTGCTTTCTGCCCTTGCGTACATAACACATCGTCGGGCCTCCAAACTCCAACTAAACAACACCTGCAAACTTTAGGTGCTACTGATGAGACCGAACTTCTGCACCCCCCAAAAGCCCCCGCTCAACCACTCTCCACCGTGGACAGACCCCGTGTTCCTTTGACGACTTGGCAGCCAAGAGCATTTGCGGCTCTTGAACAAGCCTTCTGCGCGACCCAAGCTGTACGTAACTGCTGATCCATCATACATCCATCCCTTCCTTCGCGCCCCACAAGCGTCCCGATTGCTGTCCGCTGTCTGCTGTCCGCCTCGTGCCCGTCACGTTAGCATCCATGGGGCCGCGGCGCCGTGCACGACGGCCTGTCTTTGCTCACGCTAGAGAGCACTGCCACCATCACCATCGTCGTTCCCCGCGTGGGACCGCGAGACAGCACCGTATTGCCACGATTACGCCGTGTCCACCGCAATGCTGACCAGAGGTGCGCGCTATCCAGTTGCTTGTCACCGACGCCGTCCATCGCCATCACCACAGCCCCCCGTCCATCTGAGACAGTTGCGCGTCGCCGTTGCGTGCGCCAGCCCCGAAGCGATCGCACAAGAACCACAACACCATATACCGGACACCTGACCGCGTCCTCCGCCGTGCTGGTTGCGCCTATCGTTCTGACTAGCCACGCAAAGCCATCTTCGCGATATACCTACCGACGGTCGCGCGCGCCTCCCGACCGCGGTGCTTGCACGCAACAGCTCGTCCCGGCAGCCCGACTAGCTGTACTGGCACAGTTGTGAAATCGCGTGGGCTCCCGGAGACGACCGTCTATACTGCGGATAGCCGCATGATGTGCCTGGTACACGGAGTATGACTTCCAGCCAGACACGTGCAGCTGCTACTCCGTCCTCCCCAGTGTCGAGCCGGTCGTTCCTCTCTCGGCTCAAATCGCCCTTGACATCCAAGTCTCGCAACTACACCGAGTTCTATATTCAATCAGATGACCCCCATCGCCATTACACGCCGGGCGACATCATTAGTGGGACTGTCATTATCAAGATCGTCAAACCCCTGAGAATCACTCATTTGGTTGTATCTTTGCACGGCTATGCGCAGGTTTTCAAGAACCCAAATACACCCGGAGACGCTTACAAGAACTACTGCTCAACAGTCGGCTCTGGGAGAGGGAAAAAGGCAGTGAGTTACTTTGGCAATGGATTCGTTTCGCTGTTCGAGGACGAGGTTGTGCTTTGCGGCGAGGGAAGACTAGCTGAGGGTGTATACCACTTCAACTTCGAACTCGAGTTCCCTTCCAAAGGCTTACCCAGCAGTATTGACGTAAGTAGCGATTCGTTCGCGGCTGACAGACTTACTAATAACCAATCATAGTTCGAGCGCGGAACGATATCTTACATGCTCAATGCCACCTTGACACGCCCCACGACCATGTCGCCGACCGCGTCATGCGACACAAAGGTCTACCTCACCGAATCGATTGACATCGCGCCCGTGCCGCAGCTGAAGCCTCGTGTCATTTCTCTGGAACCCATATCTAGACGAACACGCGCTAGGTCGACACGGAAACGGCCAATAGAGGAAACACCACATACACCCTCTGGCTCGGAGCCTCAGTCAGTGGGGCCAGCCTTGGAAGCCACTAAGACCATCGATGAGACAGAGGGTCCACGGAGCCCCTCGCCTAGCGACGTGAGCTATGAGAGTCAAAGGAGTAGTGGAAACGCTTCTGGGACGGAGTACGGCATTCGTTCGATCAACACGGCTACAGATGGATCAAACTCACAAAATGGAAGTCGAGCGACACTGAAAGGAAAGACAATCACAGCCACGATCGACGTGCTCAAGGGCGGCTTTCTCAGAGGCGACCAAATACCGATCAAAGTGACTGTGAATCACACGAAGCATATACGAAGCTTGAAAGGTATCATCATCACGTTGTATCGTCAAGCACGAGTTGACATGCATCCTGCACTGCCTGTCGTACCAAACAGCAAAGGCGACAAGACCAAATCAGAAGATTACTATCCGAAATCGAGGACTGGTCTAGGAGGGTTATCCCTCTCATCAGCTGGATCCAGTCACCTGTTCCGAAAGGATCTGTGTCAATCTTTTGCACCACTTTTCGTCGATCCCAGAACGCTCATGGCCGAGGTGAAGTGTGCGGTGCGCGTACCCGATGAAGCTTTCCCCACAATATCAAACGTACCCGGCGCAATGATATCCTTCAAGTACTACGTCGAAGTCGTTGTAGATATACAAGGCAAGCTCACAGGCCTCGACCGAATGGTGTCCAACGCTGGGCTTGTCAATCTGCCTTCAGCAGCTGGAGGCACCTCTGCCATGACACGTGACGATGCTAGCGGCAGTATGTTCTCGACTTGGGGAGGCAACTTTGTCGACACTGATCAGATTCGCCGCGAGAAGGGCATCATTTCTGCTTTATTCGAAGTTGTTATCGGTACCAGAGACAGCGACCGGAACGGCAAGAAGAAACAGATACAGGAACAGCCGGCTGATGACAATGGCGCCTACGGAGGATACAACGATGAGCAGGGCTACGATCAGTACTACTACGAGCAGGACGAGAACGGGCAATACTACGATTACAATTACGATCCAACGTATGACGACGTCCCCGGATATGAACAGCATAGCGCAGGCAGAGCACCAGGGTTCCCTGTGCCTGCAGTTGTTCCTCAAGAAGAGCAGGGGATATCGGAGAAAGAACGGTTGCGACGAGCAGAAGAACGCTTATTACCTTCTCAACCGCCAGATGCTGCTGGATCCTCCACCCCTTCAGGGGGTGCTCAATATGGCATACCTGCGTCAGCGCCTGTGCTGCCAGAAGATGATGATCCAAACCCTCCTTACGTCGCAGTAGCTTCATCATCTTCGACTCCAGCCCATCCTCCACCCCCGTTTCGTGCGACATCTTCGCCCATGTTGTCGTCACGCATGACATCATCACCATCGTTACAGCGCCGTGTTACGAACATCACAGATGACGAGACGAGAACTATTCGAACTGAGTCCTCGCATACCATACATCCCAGTCGATCAGAGCCACCCGTTAATGGCGAAAATAACGACCCATCGAAACCACTGCCGCCATTACCACCCCAATCGCCACATGCTGCACAAGGCTCCGCACCAGAGTACGTCGCTGGCTCATCATCACATGTCGAACCTACCGATGACAAGCAGGAGATGCAGCGACGTAGACTGGAAATGGAAAGAAGTGCACCGCCCACAGATCATGATGAAGATGGAGAGTCCTCACATACTCCTTCAGCGCCACCACTCGACAGAATGCGGAGCTTACAATTGGTACCCTCGGCGCCTGCGCTAAACGACGAAGATGAAGATCTCGTGGGTGCTGTACGCCCGGGTCGAAGTACGCAGGGTGCACCGCAAGACAGCAGGCGGCAAAGCGAAGCCTTGCCGGAGTACCGGAGGTGACATGCATGACAATGGCGTTTATGGTATTTCAGTCGCGACTATGCATAGATATGAGCGTTGCGCACAGCGGAATCTTATGCGGGAATCTGTTCAAAACGCAAGTTTACAGGAAATAGTTGGGTGGTTGACTCTTATGATATCCTTGAATTATATTACATTACTTTGATGCCTGAGCCCTCAATTTTGAGAAGACATTGCCTGCTTGTTCTGCCATCACTTGGTCTATCATATTCAAGACGAGAATCGTGACTCTTATAGTGGTGAACTGTCCTTGCGACAGACCCGCGACATTCTGCGCATGCCCGGCTCACCACTCTCTCTTTGTCCCCAGAGGTCTAGGGCTCACTTCATCTCCCGTAAGCGGCGTTCGACGACGGTCTCGAGATCACGAGAGTGCGCGTTGTGTATCTTTTGCAAGCTCGCTAGCTGCCTGCCCATAGCGGCTTCGATATTGATCTTTTGACCGACAAGATCCTGGAGACGTTTGAGCTGTGCTTGATGGGCTGCTGATCTGAAGTACTGTTAGTCTGTGGTTCATCATTTCTTCCATGACTACGTTGCTTACGCCTCAGCCTCGTGTGTGTCAAAGACTGCATTGATAGACTCTTCCAACTCCTCTTTCTTTTTGTTGTAAGCTATACCTACATTCTTCTTCGACATGTCATGATACTTGCGTCGCTGCACAAGTGGTTAGCCTCATGTCTCCGACGCCCGAATGACGAGGCGAGTGTGGGTCATAGATGTGGATATGGAGACGACGGTCTGCTGGTGATGGGCCCATCTCAACATACGTCGTCTACCATCTTCACCATCATTTGTTCCAGCGGACCATCGGAGGTGCGCTGCAATGCTTCTGCCTCATCATCTCCAGCATGTTCATCATCGATCGCGCTATTGCCTTGGTCGAGATCTTCGAGATCATCTGCTTCGTTGATGACCTGTTTCCGTGAATGCCTTGCGCTCTGGCGAGTGGTGGCTGTGGAGGGGCTTGTGAGTGTGGATTTCTTGGTTGTGCGCGGTGGTGCCATGGTTGCTGTTGGTAAGTGCTGATGATTAGTGGTGTGAGTGAAAGTGTTGATCAATCGTTTTGCCGAAACCTTCGTATTGCGAAAGTCGTTGTGGCTCAAGTGATGGAAACTTGCAAGTTAGAGGGTGAAAGTCGGAGGCTTGGATACGGCGAGGCACGGCTTCCCCACATGGATGGCGCCAAGATTCCGCGCTAGCGTGCATCCACAGTTTTTTCGGGCTTGTGTTTGCGGACTCCCGCTTTCTCTTCAACAATCACGAAATCGCTCAGTCTGCCCAGTGTTCAGCATGGGTCTCGCAGCGCCGAAGAAGTACGTTCGCCAGTTTGGCTCTGGCTGTTTCCTGCCAAACTAACGCCACACCAGTCGATCGAAGATCTCCAACGATCCCCAAAACACCACTTGGGCGAACAACACCTCGCGCTTCGGCCATCGCATATTGACCTCGCAAGGATGGCAGCCCGGCAACTCACTGGGCGCGACAGACGCCTCCCACGCCGCCCACTATACCGCTGCCTCGCAATCGCACATCCGAGTATTCCTCAAAGACGACAACCTTGGCTTGGGCGCAAAGCGAGGAAGTGAGCGCGCCGAGAACTTTGGTCTTGCAGGACTAGAGAGCATTCTTGGACGTCTGAATGGCAATGAGGCGGAGGTCAAGAAGGAAGAGGAAAGGCGAGAGGAAATTGAGAAGAGGGCTTTTGTCTACCGGAAATACGGCATGATGAACTTTGTGAGCGGTGGTTTCCTGGTGGGCGACAAGATTACCAAGGGCTCAGATATCAAGAAGGAAGTCGAGATCAAGACTGAGATCAAGACTGAGTCGGAAAGCGAGGATGGCGCATCGGCCAAGAGGGACAAAAAGAGGAAGCGAGAGGAGCGAACAGAAGACGAGCCTAAGGTGAAGCGCAAGAAGAAGAGTATGGATTTGCGCGACGAAGCACGCAAGGAGGGCGACTCAGTCAAGTCAAAGAAAGACAAGAAGGACAAAAAAGATAAAAAGGAAAAGAAGAAAGACAAGTCGAAGAAATCAAAGCGGGCATCTTCATCTGATGCCGAATCTTCCACCAACGACGCCGCCCCTCCCGCATCTGACCCAGAACCGCTCACAGACAAGGAACGGCGGAAGGCCGAGAAGAAGGCACGCAAGGAGGAGAAGAAGGCGAAGAAGGCCCTGAAGAAAGCTGCAAAGAAGGCTGCGAAAAAGGACAGCTCAGACGACTCGAGCTCAGAAAGCGAGGAAGACGAGAGCGCGCCGACGACGATCTCATCGGTACCTGTGTCGAAGACATCTACGCCTGTTCCCGCGGGCCTATCATACACCCCAAGAGGCATGCATGCCGTCAGACAGAAGTGGATCCGGCAGAAGAAGGCTGCGACTATGGATGCACAAGCGATGAAAGAGGTATGCTTGCATTGCCATGGCTTGATGTGCTTTCCACTAACGTCTCCATAGATATTCATGATCAAGACGCCATCGTAGACTCATATTGATGAACCGATCTGTACATGCATAGCGAGGAGTTATCAGGGTTTTTGGTTTAGCATGCACGTGCCGGGTTGTATTCTCAAGTTCCGTGCCATCGAGATAGAGAGCATAGAGATGCCCTGTTACACTACACCAAGTTTGGCTCTTACCTTGATCTTTCTGTCAGTCGATTGCGTCGCGTTGCATGGCGTGGTGTGGCTGTAAGCTTCGTACAACGGACAGTCGGAGCCCGACGATTGCGTGGCAGACATGGTCATGTCGGGCCTAATAGGGCTTTACATTGATAAGACTTTAATATTCCCCGCGTTTGAACCATCGGGCCCCTCGTCAAGCTTACTGCGGCTGTGGAGGACGGGTGCGCAAAGGCAAGGGGCAGTGTTGATATTGTTCGCGTGACTGCGCCCAAGCATCTGAGGTGCATGGGACATGACGGCGCCACCGGTGAGGACTGTGTTGCGTCACAGAGGAGAGAGGCCACTCGGGGCGATGGCGGGACATTTGTTTGTTGGAAATGTGCCGGCAGCCATAGGGCGGTTCCAGAAACAGGGATGCAAGATTACCCCCGTCAGTTCCTGCATGGTGGAGCTGATCACTAGTCCGCCGCCGACTTAGCCCATGTATAATGACCTCGCCCGACTTTGGTACTTGGCCCGCCCGTTGAGCACGACGCCTCCTTGACGGCCAATTCCCTACTCCATTCACTCACGCTCACTTGTCACCTGTTGCTTTTCTTCTTCTTCTTCCACCCGCCATGGCAGCAAACGGCAGCATGCGCAGACGAACCGTCGACGCGCCCGGTAAGGCAATTGTCCCGATGTTGTCCGAGTCCTGTATGGCTAACCCGTACGCAGCGAGCCTTCACCCGCGCACATCGTCGCATTCCACCCAGACACCCGAACCCTCGCCTATAGATTCCATGCCCGCGCAATTGGCCTCTGACATGCCTTCCATTTCCACATCGAAGCCGAACGGCGCGCCTGCGCTGCTCCGGAAGCAGTCGTCACCCATGATGCCTCCTTTCATGGTCTCTGCACCCGGCAAGGTCATCGTCTACGGAGAACACGCGGTAGTGCATGGCAAGGTAGGATTACTAGGACAATCATGTCGGGACACGTGCTGACCGTCTGCAGGCTGCCATCGCCGCCGCCATATCGCTCCGCTCCTACCTCCACGTCTCGTTCCTCTCCAAATCGAATCGGACCGTTAAACTGCGCTTCCCCGACATACAGATGGAGCACACGTGGAATATCGATGATCTGCCATGGGACAGCTTCTCCAAGTCAGGAAAGAAGAAGTACTACTACGACCTCGTCACCTCGCTCGACCCCGACCTCATGGCCGCCATCCAGCCCTTCATCGACGAAGTATCACCGAAAGCCCCCGAGTCGATACGCAAGATCCACCACGCCTCCGCGTGTTCCTTCCTATATCTCTTCCTTTCCCTCGCGTCGCGAAAAGTTCCCCCGTGTGTTTACACACTGCGATCTACCATTCCCATTGGTGCTGGATTGGGCAGTAGCGCCAGTATATCCGTCTGCCTCAGCACGGCAATGCTGCTGCAGATACGCGCACTCAGCGGACCCCACCAAGACCAGCCGCCGCAAGAATGTGAGCTCAACATCGAGCGAATCAACCGTTGGGCGTTCGTTGGGGAGATGTGCATACACGGAAACCCCTCAGGTGTCGACAATACCGTTTCCTCAGGCGGCAAAGCGGTTCTCTTCCAGCGGAGGGATTACGACAAGCCACCTCTAGTCATACCATTGCATAGCTTCCCCGAGCTCCCACTGCTGCTCGTCAACACACGGCAATCGCGCAGCACGGCAACAGAAGTCGCCAAGGTCGCCAACCTTCTCAAGGTGCATCCCGCCCTCACAGAAAACATCCTCAATGCTATTGGCCTAGTGACGGAATCCGCACACAAACTACTCACATCTCCCGATTTCGATGCAACATCTCCAGACTCACTAAGACATCTCGGTGAGCTCGTCACGATGAACCACGGGCTACTCGTCTCCTTGGGCGTCTCACATCCCAAACTTGAGCGTATCCGCGAGATTATCGATCACACAGGCATCGGATGGACAAAACTTACAGGTGCAGGAGGCGGAGGATGCGCTATTACCATCCTTAAGCCCCAACCGCCAGCCCTCACTAACGGTCATGCGAATGGCGCGCACCACGATACCTCATCAGACGAGTCTGACGCCTCTTCCGAAGCGGACGGGGGCGGCGCCGCATCCGTAATATCCAACGGCACAAAGCTAAAGTACAAGATTCTCGACTCTCTTGAGGTCAAATTAGAGAAGGAAGGCTTCGAGAAGTTCGAGACGACGCTTGCTGGCGACGGAGTAGGTGTGCTTTGGCCTGCTGTCCTACATAACGGTAATGAAGAGGAAGGCGGAGAGGAGATTGATCAAGAGAAGTTCCTTCGGGCCGAGGGCACAGTCGGTATCGAAAGACTGGTCGGCGTGTCCAGCTCGAAACGAAAGGGCCCCAGAGAGGTTAGAGAAGGTTGGAAATTCTGGAGACCCTGGGAGGTTCCCGAGTAGTAAACTCGGGTCTTTTGTTCCCAACAACTCGTCTGCTTCCAACATGTTCTGGCAATGTCCTGGATGGGTTCGAGTTTCATCTTCCGTTCTTGTTTCTTTGTTATTTAGCTAGATATAGGGATTTCATTGTACTTGAAGCCTTGACAGGCGTGAAGGAAAAGGCTAAAGAAGTAATGTCTTGTAGATATGAGATGGCTGATACAATCTGGCTGCAAGGCGCCTGCGGCCGAAGCATGGCCTAGCGTGAGCAGCACAGCAATAATGGAATTTCAAAGTTCCTCATGCATCAGTTCATTGTACTGCGAGTTCTAGTCTGCGATCCACCTACAATAAACACAGGGTCGTAGCGAATCGAGGTGTGCAGGTAAAGAGTGAATGTGGCGTACCATGTGTGATTGGGCAGCTAATTTTTGGTAGATCAAGCGAGCCACGCGCGACACCTGCAGAAGCCCAACCATTGTCTTGCGCCGTAGTCAACCTTTGATCGTTTCCTTCACCCACACCACTCGCCCATAAAACCCTGCGCCGCCGTCGGAACCCTTGGATACATTACTCCCAACAACACACAGCCCGTACCTTTTCACAAACAACTGCAACTATGGCACCAGGAAAGTGGGGTACGTCATGTTCGCTGCCACTGCGCGCGGTTCAAGATGGTCATGCAAAAACTTGGGACTGACATGTTCTGCAGACGACGAGGATGAGGGCAGCACTCCTCCCACATCCCCACAGGTGGCTCCCATCGCCCGCCGCAGCAAGTTCGACGATGAAGAAGACGACGACGATGTGCGTCAGCCCACCATGCCCCGCGCTTGAATACTTCAAGCCCCGCCACGACCACATGTATTGACATTGGACACAATAGGTACTAGATTCATGGGACGCCGCCGAGGATTCCGAAGTCGAACGCGAGAAGGCAAAGAAGGCCGCAGAGGCAAAGGCTAAGGCGGAGGCAGAGGCAA